GGACAAGGTGGAGATCTGTTATAACTAGGGACCAAAAATGTGATAATATGAATGTTCCCAGGTGCACTACGTAATAAATTAAGTCTAGAAACCACATCCGTAAATAACGCCTATCACATGGACCAAATCTGTAATTTATTCTCTAACATATAGATGATAAAGTAAAAAGAAACTATGATATATGATCATGATATTAATTTCAAAACATTTTTTTTTGTTAACCTGGATATCCAACCTATGCAAACCGATTAATTTTAGGGTACCACTTGTTTTTGTGGGTAGCTTGGAGCCACTGCATTTGAACCTCCGTGGTTATAATGAGATTTTTATTCATTCTTGAATTTGAACTTGGGAACACGTGACACTTTTAACCTTTGAAACTCAAACTTAAACCAATTAAAGAACTATGAAAACCTAAGAAAATCCAACAGTGAAAGGCAACGCAATTTGCATACACAACAAACTTTTAAAATATAATTCACACACCTTCCATATATGTGTTTATATATGTATATATATGTAGAAGTTAGTTATTATACAACCCTTTACATTTGTACAACCAATACAACCCAATCTCAACCGTCCATTTAATTTGATGAATATGTGATTTTATAGAAGTTTTGATTGTTTCTTAATATAAAATATTGATCACAATTAATGAACACTATTCATCTTCCATAAATATTCAAATCATAATAAATAAACTCTCATCATTTCTATAAATATCTCAATTAATTGGGTTGTATTGGTTGTACAAATGGACATGGTTGCATTTGAAATATACCATATATATATATATATATATATATATATATATATATATATATATATATATATATATATATATATATATGGAGGTTCAAACGAGAACATCTGTGATTTACGAGAACGTAAGAACAACCTAATAACCTCAAACTTTTTTAATTAATAGATTAACTTATATTAAATATAAATAAATTAATAAGGGCAATAATGTAATTAAGTAATTTTTATAATTTTTATTTTAATTAATTATAATTATCTCTTTTTTTCCTGTACGTTCATTCCCACTCTCTTTTCTTCCCTTGTGATAATTGTGTGATTGTGTAACCATAACCTATCGAAACCATGGTCAATCGAGTGTAACCATAACCTATCGAAACCATGAGTAATCGTTGTGATAAATATGTGATTGTSTAACCCTAACCGATCGAAACCATGATCAAATTGAGTGCGCAAGTGATGTTATAATAGTGATATCACATGATTATCACACCAATATCACACCAAATCGTTTAGTGGATTTCGTCCGTAATTGTTGTGATAAATGTGTGATTGTCTAATTCTAACCTATCGAAACCATGAGTAATCGTTGTGATAAATGTGTGATTGTCTAACCCTAACCGATCGAAACCATGATCAAATCGAGTGCGCTGTTATGATAGTGATATCACATGATTATCACACCCATATCACACCAAATAAGTATATTATCACACCCATATCACACCAAATAGGTATGATTATCACACCCATATCACACCAAATCGGTAGTCAATTTTCTAAGTTAACCCTAGTCGAGCGGAATCCTTGTGACAATTGTGTGATAATCACATGATTATCACACCCGTATCACACCCAAATCACATCAAATCATGTTGAAATAAACGATAAACAAAATAGCCCATTATGTTATCCAAATTATTGGGTTTAGTGTGATCATGTTTTTAAATGTTTATCACTTTGAATTCTAATATTACCCTTTTGTCTCTCAAATTTTTTTGAATTGTTTTAATTTCATTTTTAATTTAAAAAATCTTTTAATTTTTAGGTTAATAGGTTGTTCTCGTGTTTTTGTAAATCACAGGGGTTCTTGTTTGAACCCTTTCCTATATATATATATATATAATATAAGGTTAGGTTCATGTGAGACCAATGGTTTTTCGTGAGACTCGTAAGACCAATTTATGTTCATTGATTAAATTTATAAACTAATGATCTAATGGCCTAAAGTTGCAAGGTAGCAACATTGTAATTATTAAGAAGTCTCGTGGCGTTTATGAATGTTCAGATCTAACAATTGTAAATCTAATCCAATGGTTGAGAATTGGTATTACGGGTCTCACGAAAAAACCATTGGTCTCACATGATCCCAAGTATATATATATATATATATATAGAGAGAGAGAGAGAGAGAGAGAGAGAGAGATAGTTTGTTTCAAATACAACCCGTCGCATTTGTACAACCAATGCAACCCAATAAATTGATATATTTATGAAAATGATGAGAGTTCATTTATTATGATTTGAATATTTAYGGAAGATAAATATGGTTCATTAATTATGATCAATACTTTATATTAGGAAACAATCAAAACTTCTCTAAAATCACATATTAATCAAATGAAATGAACGGTTGAGATTGAGTTGTATTGGTTGTACAAATGTCAAGGGTTGTATAATAACCAACCTCTCTCTCTCTCTCTCTCTCTCTCTCTCTCTATATATATATATATATATATACACACACGGAAGGGTTCAAACGAGAACACCTTCATTTTACGAAAATACCATTTTACTATAGACAATCACATGTAATACTAAATCAGAGACGCGGGTGATTTTCGATGCGATCTTGGTTGCAGGTCAAGTCGCCCTTACACCACTAAGCCCCCTCACAAGTATTACCACATGTGATAAGGTTGTTGTTGATATGATACTATAATCAATCAAGACCATCACATGTGATACTAAATCATAGACACAGACAACTTTTGACGCGACCTAAGTCGTAAAACACGTCGTCCGCACATCACAGGGTCCCCTCACATATATTATCACATGTAATAAGGGTGTTCTCGCCTTCTCGTAAAATGGAGATATTCTCGTTTGAACCTCCACCTATATATATATGTATGTGTATATATATATACTAGAAGCGTACTCACGCAATGCAGCGAGATATATCATGATTTTAATATTTCATTTTATTATTTATTTCAGTCGATGTTATAATATGGCTTTATGTGATTTTGAGAAAGCGATGATGTTTTTATTTTTGAATAAAATATATGTTTGA